AGACGTAGACTTTAAAAATATAATGAACATGTTTTAATTATAATTTAAACAAGCTTCAATGTTCAGAAAATCTAATTCTACTTTTGTTTACAAGTTCTGCCATGTATCTGTTGAGTAAAATAGACTGTATCGTAAAACAAACCCTAAGATATCTCTGAGATTTAATGGAGAATAATTCATTTCTACTCGCATATTTAAATTGTCTTCGATTAATATCAAAGCAAGTATCGTAATCGAGTTTTAAATTTCCTTCAAATAATGTACAGGGTGGGCCAGAAAGACGTACGATTTTAAGAACGCCACTGAATCCAAACGGCACTGGTTAGCGAGGCGCCAGTAGTAGAGGTGACTAGATCGGTTTTCGGAAATTCAGTCGCAACGTGCGTTCTGCGTAAAGCATTACTATACAAATGGCGACTCGTGTACTGTTGTGCGGCGTTTATTTCGTGCCGAGTACGGATTAAATGACTTAAATCAGTATCCCAGTGAAAGTGTGATCAGGTCGTGGATTAGAAAGTTCGAGCTGGGGGTTTCACACTTAAATAAAAGCCTGCAATACGCCCAAGCTCAATACGCACAGAGGAAACAGTTAACAAAGTTAGGACTTCCCTACGACGCGATCCCGGATTATCTACCCGAAAGAAGTCGACAGAGCTTGCCATATCAAGAACATCCCTTCGTCGAATTTTGGTAAAAGGTCTTAAACTGCATCCATACAAAATTTAATTAGTATTTTTGATCAAACAATGTTGGAGCGCCTTCCAACTCTAAACAATATTCTGTTTTCGTACGAAGCTCATTTTCACTTAAATGGGCATGTCAACAAACAGAACTGTCGCTATTGTGCAGCAGAAAATCCCAAATCAAAACATCAAAAGCCACTGCATTCGCCCAATGTTACTGTTTGGGCGGCTATTTCGGCACAAGAAATCATAGGTCTCTATTTCTATGTGCGGACATGGTTTCAACAAGTTGGGGCTACATGCCTTACGTCTAGTGAGTCGATGACGGCCGTAAACGAGATGTTTGAAGGTAAACTGATATCGCGCCGAGGGGATATTCCCTGGCCTTCCGGAAGTCCAGACTTTACTTCTTGTGATTTTTTTCTATGATGATACTTGAAGAAGTGGGTTTACACCAATAGGCCACGCAGAGTAGATCAGTTAAAGGAGAATATTCGTGAGAAAATGACTGATATTCCACACGCAATGTGCCAACGAGTTTTCTCAAATTTGAAGTTCAGATTCGAAGAGTGCTTATGTCAAGATGGTGCACATCTGTATGATGTTATTTTTAAAAAATAATTTCCCATCTGTGTATTTTAATTTAAATATACACTCGTAATGATATTACTTTCTGTTTATTTTTCACGATTTTTTCATATCCGCTCAACTTAATGGCGCACCCTGTATAATATGATCTATGCTATGACTAAAAAAATTAAGATGATCGTTCACAAAAAAAAATTACAACCAACTTGTGCGGAAGCCAACTTATTGGCCCATAGACAGGAACAAAATACCCGACTTAACAGACTTCTTTGTTGTACGAAATATTTCAGCAAACTATATTCAAGTTATACATTTATATTAGGATCCCATTCTGCTCACTCTTAGCAACACCATTATCCAAAAGAAAAGCGCTCTTAGACTAGTAAACACGAGAAGAGATTGGCAAAATTCAGACTGAACCTTAAAAAGAAAATCAAGCTTACAGTTCAGTACAACTAGATAAAGAAGTAGAACTACATGTTTCAGAAGAAGCAGAACTACTTCTTTCCAGAAGAAGTAGAACTATTTGTTTCCAGAAGAAGTAGAACTATTTGTTTGCAGAAGAAGTAGAACTACTTGTTTTCAACATATAGCCAGCAGAATGGGATAATACCACACCTATTGCTCAGTGAACAACACAAAACAGGTATCCTAAATAAATAAGGGACCTAATATCTGCAAAAAGAGAACTAAGGAGGAAATTATATCAGACCAGAGCTGCATTAGATAAAATCAACTTTAACAACGCCAGCCAACCAGCAATTAAAAAAAGATAAAAATAACCAAAAATTAATCTATTAGTCTATTACTGAGTTTACAAACGATAGAGCCACTAAGCGATTGAGAAGGCCCAGTGTGCAGAATGCTTCAATCAGGAATGTAGAAGGTAGGTGGGCTGGAAACAACATACAAAAAGTTAAGAGATTCGGAGAGCACCTACAAAATACCTCCCAACCAAATGAAGGAGAATAATTACCTAACTGGGATCTTATAGACAGAGATAACTCTGTCATCAGACCAACCTCTCCAATGAAAATGACAAAAGATATACTCACAGACAAAAATATTGCATATTTTATTTTAAATCTATTTTTCTTTAAGACTTTTTGAGTTTTTCATTGCTAGATCCCTTGCACTAAAGGGTTTGACGTTTTATTTAATTGTAGACAAAATATTGTTTAGAGATAGCCTTTATACTGAATGAGCCATAGTGTTACAAATTACAAACATAGCATGAAAGTATGATAGCGTGCCTTGCCGACTAACAAAGACTGCTATTTTGTTTGTTGTTGTTATAATGACATTTTTAGTAATTTATTTTTTGTTTCTGTAGTTTCGGCGAGTAAGATGCCACATGTTAAAATTGTTACTTTAGCCAGTGAGGGTTGCAGACAACAAGAGATTTCATATCCATCAATCCACCTTTTATCGTATATTGAATTGATACAATGAGACTGGAGAATACAAAAGCCTGGTCAAGGATGTAAAAAAATGTACAACGCCAAGGGATGACCGATATTTGCGAATACAATCTTTGCGAAATCGCTCACTTACCGCGTCGCGTCTAAGACATGAATTATCTATTGGTAGACAAGTCAAAGTAAGTGTCAACACCATTATAAGAAGACTGAATGAGGTAGGTTTAAATCCGAAACGTTCTGCTAGAGTCCCTATACTTTTTCCGCGTCACAAAGTCAGACGGTTACAATTTGCAAGAGCCCATGCTGATTGAAATGAGCAACAATGGGGAAAAATCATTTTTACATATGAAACAAGAATACAATTGTGGAAGCCTGATGGACGTGGTCGAGTATACAGAAGGTCTGGGAAACGGTTTGCAGAATGTAATCTCGTACAAAACGTTAGCTTTGGGAAGGTATTAGTTAGGAGAGTCACACGTAGCTTGTTGAGGCAAATTTAAGAATGGATGCTGACTGGTACATACGCAATATCCTTGAAGGATATGTTTTACCTTATGCCGGCTTTATTGGGTATGATGACTTTGTACTAATGCATGACAATGCCCGCGCCCATGCCGCAAAAACAGTGATCCAGAACCTTGAGGCACTAGACTGGCCACCTATGAATCCTGATGCTAATCCCATAGAACATCTATGGGATACCCTAAAACGAAACATACGTGCACGAAATCCAGCTCCTAACTCAATTGCAGAAATAAGAATTGCAGCACAGGAAGAACGGAATCGAATTCCGCAAGAAACAATCAAAGATATTTTGCGCAGCATGCTTAAGAGGATGCAGGCTATTTTTCGAGCTAGAGGAGGAAATACTAAAAACTAAATCGTTATTATCTTGTTCTAAAATACTGTTATCTTGTCGTTATTGTTACTTTTTTTATTCATTCCCCCACGAATCTATTGTAAAGCTTCAGTTTCTAATTTAGTTGGCTATATGTAAAACCCTTCGGCGCAAGGGATCTAGCATTAAAAAACTGAAATAGTCTTAAAGAAAAAAAAAAATAAAACAAAAATTGATCCTAATAAATATCTCCTGGCTTCGATTTAATTATAAAAGTTTTAAAACAATTTCCGAAAGCCATAATAAAACTGACACACCTGTTTAATATCTCATTCAAACTATAGTATATATTTTATTTAGGTCGTGGAAAGTAGCCATTATCATCTCCAAACTATGAAAACTTCCAAACGTATTGGTTCGCTTTACAATACTAATGTCAAACAATAAATATACATAATATTTGTCTTTTAATTCACAAACCAATGACTTTGGACTATGTATTATATACAGTTTTGTAATCGTCTATTATTGGGAATTCAAAAATAAAGAGAAAAATATATAAAAAAAAATGGATGACGTCATGTACCTCAAAGTGGTAACGTCATTAGTACATTCAATTTGTTAAAATTATTGTAATAACAACGGTTAAAAAGATGCCTATTAAAACAATTTATAGAATATACCCAAGAGGTATATTCACAATTAGGTATTCCAAACAAAATGGTTGTCTATAGGTAATGACAGGCCATTGACAGGCACATGATAGGTTGTGATATAGTAACACTGTAGACCTGGTGATTTGACAAGACCAATGATATAGACAGTTTTATATATTTATCATCCATCTTTTTAAAAATAAACATAATCTTATGCCTTGAAGTAAGTAAATATATTTTTTAAATATATTCAAAACACTTGCCAGGCAAAATGGCCGCTCGCAAACGACCCGCTTTGCGCAATCTATATAACTATACATGTCAATGATCCCTGTTAATGACAACAAGTCCACATGGTTACCATCACTGGGATTCTCATATTTCAATTTGGCACGTGTTGAGACGACTATCTTCGTTCCACAGAATGCGATTCGTATGTAATGTCTCTCTCTATTCTCTATTCAATTCGTTACGTGTTGAGTACGCATATGAGAATCCCTGTCTATATCTCAACTGTCAGATCCCACTGGCAGTATTTTGACAGGTCGTTGGAACGTCTAATTATGAAGACCAGCAGTGAAATTCTCATTTTTGAATACGGTACGTATTGAGAAGCCTCTATCTTCGTTCGACAGAATGCGATTCTTATGTAATGTCTCTCTCTGTTCAACACGTAGCGTGTTGAGTTCGCACAAAAGGTCCCGGTGTCTATCGCCAATTCGTTTTGTTTCATGGTCAGTGTCAATGTCAACAGCTAGAAGCACCATTTGCAACCAGTTCTATTTATTATATCAGTATGCGTTTTCCATTTAAAATGTCCTTTGGCGAATATCCCCCAGAATACGATCCGAAACAACACGGCGCTTATGATCCAGCTCGATATTATGGGGAACAAGACACCCCATTTGGGGAAGTGAAAATTGGAGAACTTGGATCGTGGCTAGCCCGAAGAGATAAGACCCCACGTGCAATTTTGGGTGCTGTTAGTAGAGCATATTGGAGATGGCAACACAAGTACGTTCAACCTAGAAAAGGTGGAATAGCACCATTCTTGCATGTAGTAGTTGGGTCTATGATAGTTTTTTATTTGATCAATTCAACCAGGATTAGCCATCATAGGAATTATAAGTACCATTAAATAGAACATTTTGTAATGTCTACTACCATTATTATCTATTTATAATTGAATAAATTTTTTTTTTATTGTCTGTTGTTATTGGGTATTACTATCACTAGAATCTTTATTTAAATATATGAAGCATAACCGATTTTCTTGAAGAACATCCTGAATAAGTGTATAACTGCAATGGTTTTTAAAATGTTTTGAAAATATTGGAGAGACTGGTAGCGTCGGTCGAAAAACTATAAGTGTGCGGTCGTCTAGACGTACAGCTGAAATTCGAAAAACATAGATTTCAGAAGTGGCCCAACAAACAAATTTGTTTTATGGCTTATGGTTTTAAAAAAGACACACTTTTATGTAAACAACCTGCAAAGTTTCCATGAGCCTTTTCCAGTGGATGATTCAACACTAACATAGTCGGTTGAGAATAAAACTCTTCTAAGTCCACTTTTTTGAAAAATGAGTGACAATATCCTAATTCCTACTTAATTCTAGCTTGTGCAATACTATCCAATGTCTTGAGAAATCGTATGGGGAACAAAAGTTGTTTCTAAATAATATACTAACGTCAAAAGTTATTTCAACAATATCGGTATGTTATTATTAAACAATTTCCTTTTCCTGTTGGATTTTTTTAACCCACAAGAGACCCCTTCCAAAAAGGCTTGATTTTTAGTTTTGATGGTAGTATTTTGCTAATTTTTTTTTACTGTATGTCCAACATTAACCCATGTTTCATCTAAATAAAATACCTGTTTATGATGATTCCTTGCGTCCGCTATTTTCCTTAAATAATCATGTCTCCACGCAATGATTTCGTCTTTATCTGTTAAAAACTGTTTCTGTCACGTTTTTTGTAAAGAAAATTTAATTCATGTTATATTTTGGGCAGATGAAAATATGATATATTTGGAAGAGTGGGGCTATTTTCTATTTCCGAATGTAATTTTCAACTGCAAATAAGCATTGAAGGATGAGTTAAAAATAAAATGTCTACCTCTTAAACCTGTACTATGGTCTGCAAATAAAATTACTGCACTCATTTATTCTCTAGACTATACCTAGTCTACTGAAGGTCTATTGTTTGTACCTCTATCAGTTTTTTTCCCTATCATGATGCGTAATAATTTTAATATATTCAAGGATATGCTTATTGAAAGTCTTTAAGGTGGAATTTTTAAAATAAGGAAAAATTAGATATCCTTAAGGGATTTAAACGTCTTTTGAAAGTACAATGTCACCCAAACTGTCATTTGAAGATAAAGGCCATACTAGACCCTTTAATAAATATTAGGTTGTTAAAAAGATTAATAATTAATGTGATACGACATAGAACTAGTTATAGACAACATCTAGGGTTATAAATGTAAAATTAGCTTATATAAGAACTATTTAAAATTTATTTAATTTTAATGGCATAATTTCGACGAACGCCAGTGCAAATATGATACATAAATGTTAGTTAAAGACACCCGAAGCACCCAAGCAGAAATATTATATATACGTAAAATGTACAGTTTGGCTGAAGATGGGCTTACAGTTAGAGAAAGTGCAAAAAAGAAGGGAAATAATTTAGTTATAAAACCCGATTATTACGTTTAATTTTTATCATTGTGTGTTTGATCGTTTCTAAACCAAAAATGAAGCCTTTTCTGGTAAGTCATAAAAAATAAATTTAATATCATTTCTATTTTTTTCTAAATTCCCTCAAATTGGTATTTAGTTAATAAAAATATTTTTTTATTCATATCTGTGTTATCTTTTGGAATTGTTTTTTTATTAGGTAAGACTTTGTTACTGTAAGTTCTAGACATTCACAAATTTCACTGGCTGATAATACATCCATATAAGGTTATTTTTTCCCATATACAGGGATTTTTTTACTTTAAATCAATAACCATTTTTAACTTTTTCGTCAAAAAGAAATGATTATAAACAAATCCTTTGAATAAAAGATTACGATGTCATTAAATGTCTACAGATGTACCAATAAAATATAAATTACTTTTACAAGAGGAAATTCGATTTTTGACAGAAGATTGAATATAATTCTTTCAAAAAAAATGTTTTTGTTTCTTGTTTTAGAAATCTCCTTAGACACCTATACATATATTTTTTTAAATTCAATTAATGTAACTTATTTATGGGGTTATTTTAACCTAAAAACATTAAAATATAAATTTATTTTCTAGTTAATTACAATTCTTGTATCCACAATCTCCTTGGGACTAACCGGAGACATAGGGGGTGGACATTATGGAGGTGGAGACCTAGGAGGAGGATACGATGGAGGCCATGGAGGTGGATATGGTGGAGGATATGATGGAAGCGGCGGTTTTGGAGGTGGTGCAGGTTTTGGAGGTGGAGCAGGTACCTAATTACATTAATTATTAAAAAAGAAATATAGTTTTCGGTTTTTCAACCGAGAAAATTTCATTTTCTTCTCTTTAAAGTATTTAAATTATTAAAAAGTAAGGACCTTTTAAAATAAGGGTATTTTTACATATAAAATTTGTATTTCATAAGTTATTCCAAAACCAATACTTTAATTTTGTAACAGGTGGAGGCGCTAGCGTTCAAACTATCACCCAACAAGTACCAGTACCAGTTCCACAACCGTACCCAGTGACCGTAACTAGACCAGTACCTGTACAAGTACCACAACCCTACCCAGTAGTCGTGAACAGACCAGTACAAGTGTTAGTACCACAACCTTATACAGTAGAGATACCAAGACCAGTACCCGTTACTGTTACCAGACGCGTACCTTATCCAGTACCACAGCCCATCCAAGTTCCGTTTAGAGTACCAGTGGAGGTAAGCAAAACGTCAATCAACTACTTAGATAGATCTGAATGGAGTTAGACATTATTTGTCCCTTGTTCACCGCGACATTTTCAGTTTAATTGTGGGACTCCGTTATTTAGAGTGGGTCGTCTAGCTTGGTCTTTTTTAGTAGCGTTGACAGTGATTCCCGCTTATAGTGTCATGCTTCTGAATTCTGATAATTAGACGATAGTGACCGGTACGAAGACCTACTGTTATCTTAACGATTTGTCATTTTTGGTCCAGTAGCTTTCTCGTAAACGGATAGTTGTTTCGCCATTTTTAAGACTCCTTCACCATCCATTACTTCATGGGTTCCTTGCACAATGCCTTTTAATTTCACAAAAGAGTTCGGGGCGGGCCTGGCGGGGCCTTATCTGAGCCATCTCGCGCTTGTTCTTTGGCCTTTTCATTGACCTATCCTTCGTGGCCTGATATCCAGGATAAGGTCACTTTGTTTTGACTACTTAGCTTTGTCAGGTCTTCAAGACAGCCGTGTTGATTTCTGGAAACTACTTAAGACTGGCTAAATTATTTTGTTTATAGGTTCCAGTACCACAACCTTACCCAGTGACAGTACCTCAACCCTACCCAGTACGAGTACCCCAAACAATAGTAGTAGCAGTACCTCAACCAATTACTGTAGGAGGTGGCGGTGCAGGAGGATTTGGAGGAGATGGAGCAGGTCTTGGAGCATACGGTGGTGGACATGGAGGTAGCTTTGGAGGTACATATATTTTTTCATTCCAAAAAGGCTTCAAAGCCATTAATTAATCTTTAATTGCCGATAATAACGTTGATAAATATTTGATAGGTGGTTATGGAGGCGGCAGCTACGGAGGCAGTTATGGGGGCGGCCATGGAGGCGGATATTCGAGTAGTAATTTCGGAAAAGGCGGCGGCTACAGTTATACCAACGTACAACTTGGTGGGCACCAATATGGTAGCAGCTCCAAGCACTGATGGTATTTCAACTGTAGATTCATTTTAACGGTATGTATTTTAAAATGGTATATTTTTAATTCGGAAACAAAGAAATTTCTATATTTTCGCTTCGACTGACTGAATTTTGTCATGAAAGAGGTCAATAATTTTTGGTATTGTAAAATATACGATTTTTAAATATGTACTACTGGATGTGAATGTATTTTGTGATCTAGATTAATTTAGTAACGACTGTTTTTTGTTTCTTTTGTAATCATTATTTTTGTATAAATAAAGTTAAGCATAAAAATGTATGGTTTCTTAATTGGAAAAGTATCCTTTCTAAACCTTAGTAAACTGATTTATGAATTACAAAGTTGCGTCCATGACAAAACATGGTATAAACGTTTACAAGCAAAATACCAGTTCAATAAAAAAAAAATTGATCTGAGTAGGGTAATTTAATTTCTGTTCAACGATTGCGATTTATCACAATCATTTGCTGTAAAAGGTGCATTTACCACTGAATAAGGACAACACTATGTGACAACGTTACAATTTTTTACAGTTTATAACCAAATCTGATTTAAAAAAGTGATATAAGTGCTGTGCTGTAATAAATTCGAAAATATATATAACAAATAAATTTTCATTTTGTTGTATTTTGTTAAAACAGTAAATTAATGTTTGTCTTTTAAATAAATAATTAACAACATTAATTAAAACTAATTAGTGCCCGAAAAACTACATACAAAATACATCAATTGTTTGGTTATAAAATCAATATTTACCTATTTATTTTACACACTGTTTAATAAAATAATGTATGTACATTAATTAATAAATACCTAATATAAATTGAAAGGTAGTTTGAGTAATTTAGGACTTTTTTTTGAAAATGGGACGCAACAGCAATTCCCTCAATAATTAAATTTTCCTACATAATTGCTTATATTAGGTCAAATCTAAAAAAAAAAAATATGAGTCATCCTAAAACTCACAAGGCATGCTCGTTTCTCCACTTAAAGCAACACTAATATTTTAGGAATAAGCAAAAATTATATAAACACTTAAAAAACTGTACTCTTAAGATAAAAAAAAATTGAACAACAGAAAGAAAATATAACAAAAAAAAAATATTAAAATAAAAAAAAATAATTGAAACAACTAACAAATACTAAGAGGGTGAATTTGTAATTGTTTTTTATCCCTAAAATAAAAACTAATCTGGCTAATTGGCAATGCCAAGGCCATACATTATTAAATAAAAAAAAGATCTTGAATCTCAGATAAAGGGTAAGATCAAATACATAATAAAATATATTATTTTGTGATAGTGAAAACCGAATTAAAAAAAAAAAGTGTAGACGTACGTAGAAGAGTTTAATATTTTGTTTGTAAAAGTGGGCTAATCCTATTCAAATAAGACCAATATGTATAAAGAAACATTTTTTTCTACGATAACTATCCAAAGTAGGCTTTTACACATTCAAATCTAACTGGAAAATTGACGTTCTGTATGAATTGTCATAGTTTGACATTATTGTCGCATATATGCGCAAAGTTACTTTTTGCACACGCCTATTTTTATTAGAAAATTTCATTTGAAAGGTTATTATAAAGCTAATCGGTATTTTAAAAGAAAATGTAGACCAATCTAAATCTTTTAGTTGAACATTTAATACTCAAACTCATTTTCCTTAATATTTAAATTATAATTAAAATATTAAAAATAAATTACCCTGTTTTTAACACTTATATTTAACATGTCTTGTTGGTGTTGAGCCTAGCGCGTTTGTCTTTAAATCTGATGGTCATGAGTTCAATCCTCACCAGTATTATTATTTTTTTAATTTGATTTTTTTGTTTGTAAAATTATATAAAACTTAAAACAGTCTATGAGCCATTAATTTGCGATTTGAGTATTCTAACCGATGATTTTATAAGTTATATTTAAGATGTACTTACTAACAAATAATTTTTTATGTGTATCATAAAATTAATCCTAGAGTAAGCAGATAACACAATATACACAACATACTTTTCGTTTGCTAGTCAAGTAAACCGTTTTTGTCAAATTAACGTAGTAAGATTTAAATTCCGCAAAATAAAACTGTATATTTTTAATGTCGTGTGATCGTAGAAAAAATCTTGTGTGTAATTCAAACGGAAAGCTATTTGCCGCTTGTAACGATCTCATTTTTATATTAAAAACCAGTACCTTTTGGATACCCCTTGTATCTAGCTTTTGTCATCTCTCGCTTTCTCTTTTAGCCTTAGTCAGATTAATTTCAGCTTCTTATATTGCCTTTTTACCCTCTTGCACTGGTACATTCTTCGAGAGTATCTTTTACCACTTGTACTTTATTCAAGGCTCCTAAAATAGGTAAATTGTCAATAATACATTCCTTGTCACTTTATTTAATTTCTATTTATGTATATCTTACCCAGTACTTCCGAATTTAGCGAGTTGAGTCCCTTGTTCTCCTGCCACAAATTTCTTTTGTCTTTAACCTTTGTATTTCTTTAATTTATTTATTTCAGTCCCCCATCGTCTAGTTACACATTTTTCCTTGATTCAAGAGCGTTTACATGTTGTTTCGAGCGTTGAAATAACGATAAAATTTAGTATTTCGACCAAATTATTTGCAAGTGACTCTCGTATTTTTAAGGTTAGATCGATTTTCAAAACAAATTGATTAGATGTTCAAATTATATGGATCCAACTTATAGGCAACACTCTTTGCAAGGAGACGTGTTACTGGTTGTCAACTTATTTTGGTAGGCGAATTGGTTTATTTTGATTTGGTTTGACAATAATCGACCTGTTTTGATGTATGCGTGAAGTCTGTGGATATTTTTAGAGCATTCTGGGGAATTCCTAGTCTTATTTTCGAGGAATTTCTGGAATCATGGTAGGGATTTCTGGAACACACAGTTGGTATTTGGCGTTTTTTTTTGTAAAACTAAGAGACTAGATATCAAGCGCGGTATGAACTCGTTTTACTATTGGTTCCTTGTCGTCAGCTGATTTCGAGAAGTCTTCCTAATTGGTCGGTTGGAAAATTGTCCATTCGTGAGATTCGGAATTTGGATTCTTGGACAAGAAGGAAGGACTGAAGGTCGTACCAAAAAGGCTGGTGTGGTGTGTTTTTTGAGCTGCGACACAAAGACTTTTTTGTAACCCAATCCGTGAACATCCGTTTGAAGTGCCACATTAAGTGATCCTATTTTTGTCGTGTTTGCGCAACTAAGTTTATTTTCTTAACTTTCGTAATTTTAAGGTTACTTTCTCAACTTTCATAATTGAAACTTTTTTGTATTTGGGTGATTTTATTTATAAAAATAAATCGGTGTATTTTGAAGGTAGTCTTTGATTTACCCAGTTTAGCCGTTCAAGAGGTAGGTCTATTTTGGAATCTAAGAAGATACAACGGCTTGGCGCTCAATTTTCGATAATTTATATTTACCCACTCCCATCTCCACTATAGAGTGTAACCGAGGGCAGAAAGGTTGAGATCGACAACTCGGTACACCGTAACCCCGGTTTTGGAGGTTACACGCTTACGATAAAATGCCGAACTCCGCTGCGCGTCGCGTCAACTTTTTATCTTAAGTGGCAAAGTAGCACTTTCCGCTCTTAATACACAAATAGCTATTTTTATAATTGTAACTGAAGCGAAAATAATTTTTAAAACAAAAAAATGTATAAACTTAAAAAAAACAAATACGACACAAGCCAAGATCGAATTATCAACAACTCACCTTTCTTTGTCAACTCTAGACATACAGATTAGGAAAAAATTTTACAAGCAATTCGTTGTAGTTACACTCATTTCTAATAATTGTAGACTGCTGTGCTCATATTCGTAACACGTCGGAAAGCATCGAAATCGAATCGATTAACATTCACGTCATTTGCTGTTTAGCTCTAGCTGTTGCAGGTTGAAGATAAGCTATTTGGTTTGAAAATACTGTAGAAGTTCATAAATTTTATTTTCAAAATGCGGCTCTTGGTTCACACTAAGGAGGAAAATGGTACTTCGGGGGGTTTTCGTGGAAGAGGTAATACATTTATTTATTGGGACATAGAAAAATCTACAAATTCCACACCGTCCCTAAATAAAAGAATTATTAAAAAGGGAAACCTAAGTAAATATTGTATTTATTTTATAGAGGGAACAACATTCCACTTCAGTTCTTGCCTTACTAAAATTTACCTTATTTGAAGCTCGGTTGATAAAAATAATATTGAACGCCGGAGGAGGTGGCAGTGCCTTCACCCTATGGCTCGTTTACTTTTTACCTAATCTGTAGATACAATAATAGTTTAAATTGATATAATAATAACAATAATGTGTGACTTAGAGATTGTACGTGATATAAGACTATGCTCAGATATATTTGACCGAATTGGGTAAATATTCTGTTTAAGATCAAATTATAAGTCACAATAGGGATATGATTTCAATAGATCGGTACATAATATAGTAATTAATTTTAATGATGACCTGGACTACTTAATATTGACAAAAAAATTATTAAATCTAGGGTTTGACAGACAACTCGTTGCTTTTATTTCTTCATACCTCAAGAAAAGACTACAATACGTTGAGTTGAATGGCTTTAAATCTTCTCTATTCGAAGCTACAAGTGGGGCTCCACAAGGAAGTAATCTTGCTCCCCTGCTATTTTCGCTATTTATCAACGATATTGTCTTTATTCTCAAATGTAATATACTTTTATTTGCCGATGATCTAAAAACATTTAAAATCATTACTTGCAATGATGATTGCCATCAGCTACAAGATGATTTATTTGCCCTCAATCAATGGTGTAATGAAAACAGACTACCTCTTAGTGTAAACAAATGTAAGGTTGTGTCATATTCCTTAACCCTTTCGACCCCCTTGGGCTATATATGTCCCGACGAGAATTTAAAATTTCTATTTAGTATAAATATAACCCAATTTTAATGTGTTATTTGATTAGTGGATTCTTCAAGCAAATTCTTGAAAATAGAGAAGTTCTGGTAACGTGGCTTGTTGTTTACCGGTCATTTGTTCA